GGTCCATGAATCTCAACTTCCACCGATCGGTGGTATATATTTAGCGTAACCACCAGCCAATGTCACGAGCAAGGAACTGTCCTCATCTCGTAACCGGAAGCTCCTGGGTCCGAACCCCGGTTGGTGCGTACTGATGAAGAGTCCCATACTAGGACGAAACGGTTGTGCAGTACTCCCCCAGGTGATATTCCAATGACTCTCTGACTGATGTCATATCGTGATCAACCCCGTAACTAATCAAATCCCTGCAAGTCCAACTAAATATGCAGTCCTACCTATTATAAGTAGTAGTGTTCAAACAACTACTCCGACACGCTTTCCAGTATTTTATGGTTGCTTAATGATTTCGTATGTATCAATTAAGTAAAAAATTCTTCATTGTACAGAAGCTTAAAAAAGTACAGAACGCTTGAATTACCTTGATTCGTTAACACTGAGCCCAGTTTGAACATTATACCACCACCTAATACGAACAACTAAAAACACTAAGAATTGTTCCCCAGTCGTTAGGTAAGCCAAAAACAACGGTAGAGGAGTACACTGTATATGATTTACCCTAAAGACAGTAAAATAATCTAATTCTAGAATTCGAATGTCTGTTTTCGACATAGAACTTTGCACATATGTGCGGTAGTTCAAGTCGCCACACTCCACGCAGCGCACAAAGCAAGAGAAGAAATGCATATTAGAGACAGCAAACACAGATGTGAGACAAAGGAATAGTAATAACGAAGAACAAAACAGTTTCATTGGAAATCACAAGTCACAAGGAGTGGATGCATCTGCGCCAGCCATTGACAACGATTTTGAGCCATGTCACCAATTGTTTCCAACCATTGGTTTTTACCATCCCGAGGACCCCAACAAGACAGGAAGTCTACACCTTCCTACGTGGCCTAGACTAACTGTTGTCTATTTCATTGACTGGTGAAGCCATGTTTTCGTTTGACCACCGCTGGCTCTTTTCCAGCCTGGCCCTAAATCAGCTGACATTGCCTGTCGGTCGAGGAAGGCGATGACTAGGCAGGCCTACGTAACACATGTCCTAACCATCTCAGTCGATGTAATTTCACAGTCTCGTCGACTGATTTCCTCTCCTTACCTAGCACTCGACCGTAGCCTAACCTCAGTATCGCTCACCTTATCATACCACTTCACACGGGAGATAGAACGCAAACACCTATGATCAAAGACAGTTAATCTTTTCATGTCTTCCACTCTCAATGGCCAGGTCCCACAGACATAAAGGAGAGGACTGACGAGCAGTACACACGCCCTTTGGTCGATAAGCGGATATCACGTCTATGCCAGAAACGGCGTAAACTGACATATGCGAAACTAGCCCTCTGTATTCGTGCTGAGATTTCGTCGGAGATCAACCCGTTGTTGCTGATCGTACTTCCCAAGTAAGTGAAGCGGTCAACGTGCTCCACCACTTCACTTCCTATTTCTAATCTAGTCTAGTTTGGTATTTCATTTCCACGCCATTTAAAATCTGTTGCAAAGGGAGTATATTGTTTCAAAGTTTAATAATGAATAACACTTCGTACAGACATAATGAAGATGAGGTATCTAACGAGCAACAAGCATCAATCATCATCAACGGAAGGAATTGAAAAAAGAAGTCATCTCTTTCACTTATCTGACCTAGGCTGAGGACTGTTTCAACAACAGGCGGCACAGATAAGGATGTGAAAGCAAAGCAAACCCTCAATACTTAATAAATCAAATCTACTGCACTCGGTATGAAGGTATAAAAGGATTCATATTTTTTTAACCCTAATATCAAATAAGTGCTTCAAGTAAGTGGTTCAAAGCCTTGATGGGACCAATTACCAAGATGATTTCCAAATACATCGATCGCAGAAGTTCTATCACAACAAATAAATCCACAGAAGGGAAGCAATGCACATGAATTGGATATCCACACACACTCAGGAGATCGTTCACTGAAATCATACATACATCAAGCCGTAAAAACACTGGGAGCCAACAGGAAACGACAACTTTGAGTGTGACCGTGGGAAATGAAAGCTTAAGCGGGTGGGTGGGTGGGTAACCATGGTGGTGTGATGCTGCTGCTGTTGCTGAAGACCCATGTTCCACTCGGAATCGAAGGGATAAAACAGGGGTTGAATCGGTGACTCAGTGTGGTTGGAGATCAACAGAGACAACAATAACAGCAGAGAGGCAAGAGGAAACAAACACACTAGTAGGCTTTCGAAATACACAAGAGTCAACATTGAAGATTGCATGCCAAGTAGTCCACAACGGGAAACTTACGGAATCCTTTGAAGTGAGGACAGGAGTAAGACAAACTGGCTGCCTACTATCGCCAATGATTAGTTTCCTGATTGCAGTAGATTGGATAATGCGACAAACAGCGGGCAATGAAGAAACAGGCATAAAATGGACTCACACAAAATACTTGGAGGATATGGACTTCGCCAATGATATATGTTTGATTTCTCACAAACTGGAAGATATGCAAGCGAAAAGCAACAAGTTGGAAAAAGAAACATCAAAGATAGGAAGGACTTCAGGTGAACATGAAGAAAACAGAGGTGATGAAGATTTCTGGCCAACAGCAACAGACACATCAACCACAATAGACAACAATCAGCATAAATGGGAGAAATGTGAAAGAAGCAACCTCCTTCACCTACCTGGGAAGCATCGTTTCAACTACAGGCGGAACTGACGAAGATATCAAAGAAAGAATCGGAAAAGCAAGACAAGTTTCCACTACTCTCAAGTCTGTATGGAGGTCAACAGCACTCTGCATGAGAAATAAGGCCAGGATTTTCAACTAAAATGTGAAGTCAGTGCTACTATACGGATCAGAGAGCAACAGAGATCTCTGGGAGCGAACCAACCAGGAACTGACTGTGAAACAAATAGGCAGGAAGAAATGGAGATGGAATGGCCATACTCTGAGGAAACAAACCATCAAGTGACATCACTAGACAAGCCATTGCTCGAGTGGAACCCGAAAGGGAAGCGGTGAGTTGGTCGTCAGTGCCCGGGTGACTTGGAGGAGGTCATGTGAAGAGGAGATGAAAGTGTGTGGGCAGACTTGGAGCCAGGTGAAGATTCTAGCAGAGAACCGAACGCAATGGAGACGCACGGGTGAAGCCCTATGTTCCTCTAGGAATTAAAGGACAAATAATTGAAAGCTTCACAACTCTACACAATTTATCTATCTAACTCATAGAAGAAGATGATGATAAACTTAGTCAGGCAAATTATATTTCTAAAAACAAAACGGAATCAACTATCAGAACAAGAACCATCAGTCTTATTCATCATTTATTTGGTGATGATAAAGTAAATAATCATAATAGTAATAATAATAATAATAGTAACAATAATAATAATAATCTAAGATATGTGATAATATGTTTGTTGGTTTGTTTTTGGTTAGCTTTAGCGTTCGTTATCTTCTCATTCAAACGGTTCTTCTTTAATTACGAATACGTGTGAGTACGAGTGAGTTAGTGAGTGAGTGTGTGCATGTATGATAATCGGAAGAAGAAGAAGTACAAAACAGACTATAGGTAGGTAGGTAGGTAGAGACAGCGAGAGAGAGAGAACAGTAATCTCAACAAACAGTAACAGTTACTTACTTTATAAATTAATTATACCACAAATAAGTGTATTCTATATATATAACTGATACTCACAAAGAAAATGATAACAAGGGGGGTGGGGTGCAGGGGACTTTGGAGGAGAAACAGGGAGGTAATTTACAAATACATACACGAACACGCACACTCACATGCCTAGAAAAGGAAACAGTCGAAATGGGGATAGGATATCATCAGCATCATCAACACCGACAGGCACACACACGTAAATACGCACGCACGCACACACGCACATATACACACACAAAGAGTTAAGCAAAAAATCAACGACACAAAGTGGTAACACACAGAACACATACATACACAAGTATATATCTATATATATATGCACAATTTGAAGTTAAGGCGGCTAAGGTGAGAACAGATCAAAGAGGGAATTTAACAGAAAACAAGAACTACTACTACTGCTACTACTCTTACCTGGCATAGCAAATATGTATTAACTTGTCAACAGGCTTTGATAGTAGTAGCGGGCAATAATTATACACAAACACACGCACGCACCACAAAGAACACACACAGGAGGAAGAGTATTATGAAACAGAGGATTACTTAGATTACTGCCCATATTGACAATAAATCATTCTTTGTTTGTATGTGTAAGTGTGTGTGTCTATAGACATATATATTCACAGACATTAGCGAATAAGAATGAAACAATACTCTTACTACTACTAATAATAGTAATAATAACACTAATAATAATAATGGAAAGAACCGGAAAAGCATGCAAAACACCAAAGTTTAAGAAAACTCATACTAACACCGGTGACGAATAACCAACACACTGACCAACACCAAGCGACCAACTAACCAAGGCAGTGAGGCAACAAAAACAGACAAATATAGACGGAATCCCATAAAAAAATTGTGTGTGCGTGAGGGTTAGAATCTCAACAACAAAAAACCGGAAGAAAGAAAGAAGAAGAAGCGTTTTTAAAAGGAACAGTTGAGAAAAGGAACACTGTGGCAAAGAAATAATAATGGTAGTTCGATAAAACAAACACAACATGAATATCACTCTTCCCCTTATTCTCCTGTTTATCATTCTATACTAACTAAAGTAGGATATAAGCGTAGAAATTTAATTATTGATGAATAGCCAAATCAAATCAAAAAGAACAACAACACTAAACAGAATAGAACAGAACAGAACAGAACACAGAAAGGGTACAACAAATGAGGTAAATGAAAAACAAAATGAGAACACTTCACACATTTTTCATTAGACAATGATACATTAGACACAAAGAGGAGAGAGAGAGAGTAGACAGACAGACAGAAAGAGGACGGGGGGGGGGACGGAAATAAACGGATGGATTTTATTGGTATGTGCAAATAGAGTACATTTATATATATGTATATATTGTGTATGTTGTATATATGTATTAGCTTTAATGCGATACCAATTTATCTTCATAAAATGCTATTAATAGCATAATACAAAAGCCTAATAGGATGCCAAGATTTTGCCATAAGAATAAAACACTCGGTTGATGACATCGTCGATCACCTTTCAATTGATTAGCTGATAGTTCAGGCATCTAAAAAGAAGACATATGTGTGTGTGAGAGAAAAAACAGGATCAGTGAATAGTATAATCAAAACAAAAATACGTGACAAAAATACTGGAGAAATTCAATAAAGCACTTCCTAGGATAAGCTTCAATAGAGAAGAAGAAGAAGAAAATGACTCCACCTCGGTTTTGGATGCTTCAATGATTAAACAAACAGACGAAACAATATGTAGACATTCAAGTATTAGCTTGTAGGGATTTGGTTGATTGGTTACAGGATTTCATCATGAGCTGACATTGGTTAGAGAGTCATTGGAAGACCTACAGGAAGTACTGGACAGCTGTTTCGTCCTGGTTTGGGACTCCTCATCAGCACGCACCCACTGGGATTCGAACCCAAAACCTTCCGGTTACAAGGCCAGCTCGTATACCATTAAGCCACTGGGACCCGATCCAAATGGCCCACGAATTCTAACTTCTGCCAATTCACGACATAGCGCGACCCCTAGCCAACGTCTCTGACGAGTATTTGTCGTCACACCTGACCTGCTGTACGCTACTGGTCACGACTTCTCACTAGAACTCCAGGTAACTGCCTACCTGAGTAGGGCAAGTCGCTAGTGAGCATCTCACTGGTATTCAAGTATCCTGTAATCAATCAACTAAATCACTACAAACCAATACTTGAATAACAATGAGATGCTCACTGGCGACTGGCCCTATTCAGGTAGGTAGTTACCTGGGGTTCCAGTGGGAAGTCGTGACCAGTAGGGTGCAGCAGGTCGGGTGTGAGGACAAATACTCGCCGAAGACATTGGCTAGCGGTTGCGCTATATCGTGAATATGTAGACAATTGCATCGGAAACCCACATTAACTGGGTAATATACCCACTTTTTGATTTGTATGCCTCTACAATGCAAAACGTGATTCGATTAGGTGTCTGCTTCACCAGGCTAGAGTTATTTCGTCCAAATGACACACTGAACAACGTCCTCGGTAATATTAGACAACTAATAAGTAGAAATAGATATCCGATAAAATTTTCCAACATACCCATGAATTGAGCATGTACACAGTTGAAGGTGCCCACTGTTCCCAAAAAATCAGTCTTCGCGTGTGGTGTCAATAGTGAGTTCTTACTTATCACAACGTCTGAGAAGGGCCTTCAAAAGGACTTTCAATGCAATTAAGTTATGCTGTTCATTCACTAGCCCACAAATATTCAGTTCAAGAAATAAAAACAAACCAGCCTATTTCGCTTCTTCCATGGGTATTTACCAGTTTAACTGCTCGTATGGAGCTACTAACATTTGGTGTACACGATCAGGTGAGTTCATCGTCAACTTTCTGAACACTTCCTCCAATCTTGGTTTAGCAAATCGTCCGAATAAAGCGATATGCAGCTCGAACACTAGCTCATTTCACCGATACTGGACATCAAGTTGACACTAAGAAAGCATTTAAAGTTATTTATTGTATTTCACCCAACTTTTCATATGGTCTGCAAGTACAACTTTTATGTACGTACAGTAGAAGCAATCTTAATACCTCTTAACAACTCAAATCTGCGTTCAAGTGTTGGTTTGTAGGGATTTCATCATGAGCTGACATTAGTTAGAGAACCATTGGAAAACCAATGGGGAGCACTGGACAGCTGCTTCGTCCTAGTTTGGGACTCTTCATCAGTACGCACCCACCGCTCACTAGCGACTTGCCCTATTCAGGTAGGTAGTTACCTGGGGTTCCAGTGAGAAGTTGTGACCAGTAGGGTATAGCAGGCCGGGTGTGAGGACAAATACTCGCTGAAGACATTGGTTAGGGTCCCAGTGGCTTAATGGTATACGAGCTCGCTAGCCTTGTAACCAGAAGGTCCTGGATTCGAATCCCGGTGGATCATTATTATTTAACGAGTTTGCTGATCATGCAATAAACAACTCGTTGCTAACCCACTCAAAATGAGACTTGAATGACAAACAAAAACGTTAAGCCTTCAAGAGTGATGTGGAACCAGTAAAAAAAACAAAATAGGCTGAAGACAACAGAATGAAACGAAGCGGTAGTCTTTTATTGCTTAAATTCCTACTTTTTTCTTTTCTTTTTGTGAATTCTTTCATGATAGATAGTTTTATTGTATCATCTGATTATTTGTTGTGTAGATTTTGAAAGTGTAGAGAATCAGGTCACTAGCAGAATAATAGAATAGGTTTTTCCTGTGTGTGTATGTTAAATTAAATACCTAGGCGTCATTCTATCTGCTGATCTTTCCTGGTCGTCTCATATCTTGGCGATTTCTAAGAAAATATTCCGTCTTACCTTCTACATCAAGAAGTTAAGACATTCTGGTATAACCCAACCCTTACTCCTACAATTCGTTAACTCTCGCATCCTGCCTATTATTCTCTATTGTTCCCCTTAGTTTTTTCTGGGCTACCGTAGAAAGACTATACCTTATTACGCAGGATGTTAAATGTTGTTAGCAGGGTAAGCAACGTGCCACTTAACCAGCTTGCTAATACTCTGGTTGACAGGCACATGGACTCATGTGAAAAATGGGCCAAATCCATTTTATCTAACTCACACTACCCTCCTCACTCACAACTCTCCCCCTGCATCTCATCAGGTAAAACCAGAAGCCAATATAGAAAACTATATGCTCGCACCAGCAAGTACAAAAACTCAACTATACCCTACTTAGCTCGTGTTCTGTGAGATAAAGAAGGCATTAGGCGTGACACCTATAATTCATTAAATAGTCATTAGTACAACTAGATCTCTTCTTTCCAACCCACTTCATCAATAGGTACAACATTTTCTTTCTTTCTTTTCCTTTTCTCTCTCTTTTTTTCTCTTTTTTTCCGTTTTGTGCTGCTTTGTTTCTTTCTTCCGCTTACACCAGTAAACATGATAGCGCCTACTTTTCTAACACCTTCAAACACTGTTCAACTTTGGCTTTGCTACCGACATGCCAATGTGTTGTTGTAATAATGAACTGAGATTTCCTTAATCTATGTAGAATTCTATTTATTGATAATGTACTAACTGGATGCAATACTGTAGTAAAAATGCTGAGAATTCCATTCTGTATCAACAAGTACTGTTTTGGAATAAAGCAAATTATTATTATTATTGTGTTCTCACAAAATGTCATCGACGCCCGGGTGCTCGCTCGTCCGCCCACCCACCTGCCTACCTTACCTCTTTCTATTTTAATACTCTACATTTCTGCATAAATAAATATCTTACTACTCTCCAGTTATAATAAATGAGCAGTGGAAACCTACACAACCTTAAATACAATCCATACAACATATATATATATATGCTATATTATACTACTTATTACTGTATAACGACGACGTTATATAGTGTAAAATAATCAGTGTTAGCATTGATAAGATTTTATGAAAAATATAAAACAACACTATTACAAGAAAGACAACAATGAACACTAATGGAATTTACCGTACTCTATTTCTAGTTACCTTATTATCTTATGAGTAGAGTATGAAAAGTAGCAGTAATAATAATAGTAATAATAATAATAATGCGTGATTTACTTCAACTCAAAACTGACAGATAAACACGTTAACCCATAGATAACACACGCGTAATTAGCCATTTAAGTGTAAATTTTCACGTAGTAAAAGAGTGAACTGTTAGTTAGTTAGTTAGTTAGTTAAACGAAGAAAATTCTTATATATACTACTATTTTATTGACCTTCGTAAGAAGAAACAACAAAAAGGAAGAAAGAAACGGACAGAAGCCTTCAAGTTTTCTCTCCGTTGATATTTACCCTGTGTAAACTTAGAAGCAATGCATCCTAGTTTAATCATCACTAGTCATAAGTATAAGGCAGAGATGGTTTCTGGTGTGCTAGGTTATATTAAGGCGCAGTAAGTCTGTGGTGTGATTGCAGACAGCAATTTACGTCAGTGTTCACGTTCCGAACCAGGGTAGTGAGAAAGACAACAACTAAGCTTAACCTTGAGAAAAATCACCAGCCAATCACAGAGGAGTTAATGTGTGCAAATATGATTCGCAGATATACGGCTTCATTTTCTGAGAAACAGCCACCAACAGATAACAGAATATATTAGATGGTTGGAGGCAATCGGCAGGAAGCCTGCCGATTGCCTCCAACCATCTAATTGCCTTCCTGCTTCCTGCTCATATCATCACAAACAATGTACACCGTGATGGCGAGCTACCTAGAATGGTGGCCACATTACAACCTGACTGATAGAATTCAGTCTGCACCAAAGAGAGGACTAGACGCATCACACTAGTTACTAGTGTCAAATCAAAATAACAGAATATAACCTTCAGCAAGAAAACAACCAATCAGAAGTGGTTGCTTCTCCGCTAACAATAACGCTAATAATAATACACATAAAAATCTACAAATACCTCTTGATTTTCTCAATACACGATCTGTTGCCTGGCCCTTGTTTTCTGTTGTTACAAGTCAGCGGAAACGTGAAGACAGTCGGATCACCACTTTCTTTCAGTTACCAAGTGTCGGTTTACAGGGATTAACTGGTTACAGGCTTGTTCACGAGTTAACCACCAGTTAGGGAACTACTGGAAAACCTACTGGACTGCTGTTTCCTCCGTCCTAGTTTGACACTCTTCAGTAGTACGCACTCGAATGGTCCCAGTGGGTGTGTGTATTGATGAAGAGTCCCAAACTTGGGTGACGAGACAGCTGCACACAGTATAAAGAACAAGCTTCATATTCTCAGCACTAATGTCATGCCAGTGATTCTATATGTATAAATGATTGAGAAACTTGGCACAGGCGTTAACTAGAAGGCTACCTACTGCAGACTTTTTGATCAACAAACGTCTGCTTCGCTGACTCAATACTGAAGATTAGATGGCTAGCCAGATAGGATAAGTAAAAAGGAGTACTGGCTACTCATTGTGATGGAGAGATAGACAGACATTAGGACAGCCCACCAATCAATATGACCTAACCGCTGTCTGTTGCGATATTCATGTGATTATTCGTTGTCTTATGGTGTG